GCCCGTGGCGGGTGGCGGGGCGGTCCCCACTGCCGCTGGGGCCTGCAGGGGCGTGTCTGGGCCCACGGCCCTCTGACCCTGCGTGGTTGTTTCAGGATGCAGAACGACATGAAGCTGCCCCAGGATCAGCGCCGAAAGTGAGTAGTGGGCCGAGTTCCGCCCTGGGCTGGGGCTGGCGGGTGCAGGAGCCCCGGCCAGGAAGGCCAGCGGGTCACCTCACCTATGGGTCACCCAGAGTGGAGCGAGGTGGCTGGCTGGCAGCTTTTGGAAACATACACTGTGTGCATCAGTACTGGGGTCACCAGGGGAATCTGGTGTTGGGGGCTGAATGGCAGGGATCGGGCACTGGTCACTTTCCCTCTGCCCACGCCTCGCTCCCATTCTGTGGGGGACAGTCCAGCAGTCTGAGTGGGCCTGGGCCTTTCAGAGGCTCTGGGAGCGGTAAGGCTCTGGTCGTGGAGGGCGCCACACTTGACCTCCAGGTGTCGGCGTCAGTTCAGGTGGGATGTGGCTCCACACGAGCTGCTGGTCCACCCTCTGGCCGGAGGGTAAGCCGTGGGGAGGGCACACCAAGCGGACGGGCTGGGAAGGGACCAGGCACAGCAGCCCCTCCTCCCGCCCTCGGCGGCAGCCCGCCGACGGGACCAGCGTCAGGGCTGGCAGCCACCTGGAGGTGTTTTCTCGTAGAACTCAGGGGGTCTTCGGGTGCTGAGGCCCCCTGAGGGGGGAGACCATCTGAGCTGTTGGAGGAGGCTGTTGTCCCTGGACCCCTGCGAAGGGGCTGTGGCTCTTCCCGGGAGGTCCCCATGGGAGCCGGAGGTCAGGGAGAGCCTCACGTGGGCCCATTCTGTCCCTGGCAGCTACGCGCACGCCCTGGACGGCCTGTACCGTGTGGCCCGAGAAGGTGAGCGGAGCAGGCCCTTGGCGTGGCAGGGCCCAGGGGAGGGGCCCGAGGGGGCAGGGGCAGGCGCAGGCCGAGGGTCGGGGTGGGCACCCAGCTTGCCCCTTCCTCCGGCAGAGGGTCTGAAGAAGCTGTTCTCGGGTGCGACCATGGCGTCTAGTCGAGGGATGTTGGTGACCGTGGGCCAGGTAGGGCTGCAGGGGTGGGGCTTTCGGGGAACACCTGGGGGCCTGGCCCTGCCCCTGCCTTCCGAGAGATCTCAGAGGAAGGCAGTGGCCCCGGACCGTAGGCGAGCACTGGGGGTGTGACCTCGGGTGGGCCCCTCCCTGTCGGCCTCGCCTGTCCACCCAAGAGTGCTGACTGTGTAGGTGACCGCAGAAAAGGTGTCTTGTCAATCTGGGTGGTGTCATCGTGGGCTGCCGTCTGCTTTCGGTGGAGTTGGGGGCCGTCCCGCGCACCCTGACCACCTCTGCCACCCCCACAGCTGTCCTGCTATGACCAGGCCAAGCAGCTCGTCCTCAGCATGGGGTACCTGTCTGACGGCATCGTCACTCACTTCATCGCCAGCTTCATCGCAGTGAGTGCCGGGCGTGGCGCTCGTGGGGGTCTGTGACCGGTCTCAGGAGCTGAGGGCCCCTGGGCTGGACCCGGGCCCTGCAGGCCGAGGCGCCGGCCCGCCCTGGTGGGTGCCCCTCTCAGACTGTGCGTGTGGGTGCCGGGCTGGGAAAGCTCACAGGTCGGCCGGTGACCGGGCGAGAGCGGGTCCTAGTGTCCCCCTGCAGCCCTTGGGACGCCGCCTGGGTGTCCAGCCCAGGGGCCTTTGGGGCAGGCCTGTAGGGGTGCAGGGGTACCCCTGCCCTGCCTGACAGGCCCGCGGGGATGTCCCCTGCCCCAGGGTGGGTGTGCCACGTTTCTGTGCCAGCCGCTGGACGTGCTGAAGACCCGTCTGATGAACTCCAAGGGCGAGTATCAGGTGAGCGGGGGCCGGAGCCCCGGGCGTGGGCTGGGGGACCCGGGTGGTGGGCCCGTGTCCTTGTTCTGGGACGTGGGTGACAGCTGTCCTTCCGCCTGCGACTGCATCCCTCCCCGTTGCCGTCCCCAGCTGCCTCCGAACAGCCCTTGGCCCTGTGCGTGTCTTTAAATCAGATTCTCAGACACGTTCACAGAGGCAGCGGGGTCACCACAGTCAGCGAAAGTCGGCGAGGGGCCATTTTAAGTCAGAGACCAGCTGGGACTCCCACGGTGCGCACAGCACCTGTGTCCTCCTGGCGCCCGAGGCCCTGCCCCTGCCCTTCTCACCCCTCCCCGCTGTCAGCAGCCCCCACCGCTGTGGGTGCCAGGCGGGTCGGCCTGCCACTGGGTGCGCCCTCAGGGGTTCTGGCTTTGCCTCGTCAGCGGTCAGGCGGTCAGCGGACAGGACGGCTGTGACCTTTTTGCTCACGTGTTGTCCTGAGTTTACCTTTGAATATTCCAGGCCGTGATCTGCACTGGCCATTGGGTCACACCCACGTTAGTGTGCAGAGCCAGCAGCCGGTGCTGGGGGTTACTTTGTGCCTTTCGAGTGAGGGGCGGCTTTTTTTTTATTGCTTTATTTGTCATTTTCCGCAGGGCGTTCTCCACTGCACCATGGAGACTGCGAAACTCGGGCCAATGGCCTTTTACAAGGTTTG